ACGCTTAATTTCATGTAGTCAAGGCACAAGGTGAGAAAAGATTGTGAGAACAGTTGCCATGAAAATATTTGTAGAAATGACAGAGAGGGAAGCTGCGTCATGTCAGTGAGAAAGTGACTGAAGTTGATATGCCAGATCAGGATTGATTACATTGCAGATCCTACTTTGAATTTTGTCAAGAATCTCGATATATACAGCAGGAGCATCAGACCAGATATAGCAACAATATTCAATGCATAGATGAATGGATAAATGGTAGATTTATAAATGTGCAAGATGGATTCTGACAAGAAAAGATTTCCAGTACAACACAATGAACCTGTTTTCCTAGCAGAAGATATAACCATTGATTCAATATAGTTGCTCCACATCATGTCAGTGGAAAACATGAGCTCAAGAAGACATAGAGTGTTACTCTCCTGGAGTTTACCATCAGCCATGCTGATGGCAGTCAGAAAAGGTTCTCTATGGTGATTAAATGAAAGCAGATTTGTTTTGGAAAGTGTTCAAATCTACAAGCCATTTTTTATCCCAGTTAACTATTAATTGGGGGGTCCTTTTCAAAAGCAGTTGCTAGGTTTACTTTGATTGATCTGTTGGATTTGCTACTAAAGACCGGAGTAAATAGTTATGTCATCTGTGTAAATACCTAGTTGGGAAGTGATGACATCAGCAAGGTTGTTGATGAAGAATTGTTTTAAAAAAGAATCAGTTGGTCCAGGAATTTTGATTCTATCAAAATTGTTTATTCTTAGAAAATAATTCTATTTTACATTTATAAAAATTCACAAAAGCATAATCATAAATTAAAAAAATTTTGGAAAAATTTTTTTTTTGATAATGCTGTTACTTACATTATCTCTATCTATAAAAGGCAGGATGTGTGTGTGTGTAACAGCTGCAATTTTCAACGGATTTGCACCAAAATTTACATGCACATGCTCCAAGTTAGTGGGAAGGCCAGAGACCAACTTTGCATTTCCCAACTCCCATCAATAGTGGAAATAATCGATTTTTTTCATGCTTCTATGGCAGTTTTCATGTAGTTTGCGACCATTTTCTACTGGCCAGAGTGAGAGCCAATAGCTGGCTGCCACGAATAAGCAGAAAAGATTCTATTGGCCAGCATGAGAGCCAACAGCTTACTGACAGGAATGTTAACTAGCATGCTAGCATGCAAAAAAAATCAATAGCTGCATTTGTCACAAGTGGGAAAAATTTAAATCTGCATGGCACTTTACTCTAATTGGCTCATTTGCTTGCTTAAACTCAATGTTGATTCTGATTCCGCAGAACTGGGTTGGGTGTGAAAAAGTATTTTTTGTTAACATTCTTTTTTCATTCGGTTTTTCCAGTTACGAGTCGTTTTTTAAAGCTGATCGTTTTGTGTTCATTTTGTTTAGTTCTTTTTTCGTAACAGATTTAATGTTTAGTATAGAGCTTAGAAAAAATTTGCAGTGTGAGATAGGCAAGAAGTAAGGCATATAGCAACATCAGCACAGCAAAGGGCACTCCTTTAAAGGCAAGGAAGGGCAAAAAAAGTCATGTGATAGTAATTGCTGTATGAGTTGTACAATTTTTGAATCAAGCACGGGCAACGCCGGGCCATGCTGCTAGTTACTACTAGCCCTAACATGGTCTGACTTTCGACTACTGAAACAGACCTTTAGACTGCTAGTAATATTTGTTTTGTTTACACACTTTTTGCTATGCCAAATACAAAAGAATTCGCTCATCACTCTAAAGAAAATAAATATATTATTTATTTTAAACCTTTCAGTCAGTTTGTTTTATTCCCAAAGTTTCCCATGAAAATAATTATCCTACCACATATCCACATTGGCAACATTCTGAAATGAATCCATATGCCACACTCCCTTCTTTCTTGCTGTTATGACAATGTTTCGGCAGTTGTGCTCTACAGCCTTCTACAGATCCAGGTAACCTTTAGGGAATTTTGAACAGAGCCTTTTATCTAATTCTAAAACAGCAAATAGGCGACACCAATAGGGAATAAAAGATAATCCTTACATGAGATTTGAACTCACTTCCCTTTTGGTTCAATGAACATATATAAAATATGTTCATTGAACCAAAATATGAAATATTTTAAGTCAAGTGATAGCGATTGCTGTATGAGTCATATGATTTTTGGATCAAGCACGGGCAATGCCAGGCCATGCTGCTAGTTACTTTATATGAATTCTTTTTAAGGGTGAACATTTTTCAATCTTATTTGCATCATTTGTAACTATTCATGCCTTCCCCAAGGTCTTTAGTACAAAGTGAATGCCAATTGACTTGGTTCAGAGTTTGAACTCATGTTACTAATTTGATTATCATTTTGCTAACCATTTATCCATGAGCACTTTTGTTGTTATTAGGATGATCACAGGCAATGAAATATAGATTGTTTACAACATTGTGGGATGCAAAAGGTCCCGTGGAAAATGAAAAGCTGTTTTGTATCTGAAGAATGTGATAATGTGTATCTAGCAAGGTCCGAAGGGTATTGTGTATTATAGATTCCCCTTTCAGAAAATAAACCAAAGAATTTAGTCAAGTACTGTACCTATATAACATCAAGCTATACTCAAAACAGCCAAGATTCATAATCTTTATCTGGCCTTAAATAACCCTATAGTGGTTGAAGGATCATTAAGTAGAAACCAAATCAGACCCATTTGAACTGCTTAAAGGCAGCAATTAATGAAATGAGAAATTTAAGATATAACAAAGCTATTTTACATACATTCAGTTATTAGATTCTGTACTTGTCAAAGAAAGTAAATAAAGGAATAATGCCAAAGAAAATTCTTTATTTTACACAATAAAAAATAATATTTATATATGAAACTGATATTTAAAATTATCTTACTTTTCCTATATTTGAATGACAGTTTTATATTTTAGTGCAGATATTTTTCTTATAAACCAGGAAAACATATTGAAACTTTTTTTTATAGTCAATGTTTGATAGAAATAAAATCTTAAATCTGAGAAAGTGAACATACACACAAAACTATAGATTTTATATCTTTCATTATCAGAGACAATTAGAATAAACTACATTTCAATTGAATTTGTTAAGTAATTTTCTCTGAATTTTTGATCTGCTTAGCTTTGCTTTTTTCTCAAAAATGCTTCATGTATTTATAACAGGAATAAATTTTGGTTTGAACATTTTTAAAAATCTAATCAACTTGATGTGACTATATATAAATATATATATATATGTATGTATGTATATATATATATGTGTGTGTGTGTGTGAAAAGATTTTTAGTGCCACACCAACTAACTAGTATTCTTAAAACAGGGAACATTTTAATTAATCAAATTAATTGGATACAAAAGAATCATTTTGATCAAAAATAGAAATTTTAAGGTACCTTTTGCCCATGTTTCATCAGAAGAAAAATCATTGGAATTAAGAAAAACTACTGAAAGGAAATACACCTCTTTTCAATAGAATTAAGAAAGACAAGGTGGATGGGAGAGAAAACAAATAATTTAAAGTTGCCCAGAACAAGACAATGACTTGCTCTAAATTCTATTTTAAAGAGGGGGTTTGTTTCCTTTCACTAGTTTTTCTTTATTCCGACAATTTTTCTTCTGATGAAGCATTGAAGGAAATGTACGTTAAAATTTCTATTTCTAATTGAGATGATATTTTTGTATCTGAATTTTTGATTAATAAAAATGTTCCCTGTTTTAAGAATATGAACATTTTATTGGTGGTACAAAACTTAATAATCACTATAAGCAGACAAAATTTATTTTTAATATTATTAGACATGAGAACAATTAAAAAAAAAAAATGAAAAATAAGCTAGCTAACCAGTTTCGAACCTCACTCAACAGAGCTAAATCAAGTTTAATAAATAGGTATACATTATAAATAAAAGCAATGGAGAGTATGTGAAAAAAAATTATTTAAATGAAAATCAATTGGAAGCCAAGGACAAAACCTTTTGTTTGCAAAGAGAAGATTTCATAGATAAAATGAATATGGCTTCCAATATTTTTAGGTGGTAATTAGAGTTGGACCTACTCAAGATGGAAAATGACTCCACACTGAAATTAGCAGCACAATTATAGTTATTTATAAGGTGTACCATAATAGAAAACAATGAGATCAGGTTTATTAGAACTATTCTTTGCAACAATGCCTATCCATTGGACATTGTTCAATCTGTAATTAAAAATAAAATTTCAGAGTTTAATAAAGTTAAACCTGCTTCAGTACAGAGATGTCCTGTGTACCTATGTTTTCCTTGGTTAGGTAGCATTAGTGGCAGATATACTAAGTGGGTTTCCTTAGCAGTTTGACAATGCTACTTTTCTGCTAACACTCGTGTGTTTTTTTTTCTGCTACACCTATCCTTGCATCCATGTGGAAAGACATTCTTCCACATCACCATAATAGTTCCTTGATTTATTTATTTAAATGTAGTTGCAGTTTGCACTAGATAGAAAGAATGACTCAAAGGATTAAACAACATGTACCTACAAAAATCCAGAACTCTAATTATTTACCATCTAATGTTCTGACCAATACATACAGGTTTTCTATTGTGGAACACCTTATAAATAACTGCAATTGTGCTGCTAATTTCAGTGTTGACTCATTTTCCATCTCAAGTAGGTGCCACTAATTATCACCTAAAAATATTGGAGGTCATATATATTCTATCTATGAAACCTTCATTTTGAAAACAGAAGCATTTTGTTCTTGGCTTCCAACTGATTTCGATTTAAATAATTTTTTTTTTTTTTTTTACATATTCTCCATTCCTTTTATTAATAATGTATACCTATTTATTTACCTTGATTTAGCTCTGTTGAGTGAGGTTCAAAACTGGTTAGCTAGCTCATTTTTAATTTTTTAATCTGTGGTAATATTAAAAATAATGTTTGTCTGTTTATGACTGTTTATATATATATATATATATATATATATATATATATATATAAAAACATTTATCTTTCATTTTCAGATCTGGCAGTGTGATAGGTGCTATTATTGGAGCCATTTTGTTGGTAGCAATTATTGGAGCCATCATCTATTGTGTCTGTCGTCATAATAAAAAACGGAGGGGCGAGGTGTTGAGCAAAAATAGTAAGTAATCCTGTGCAGGAACACTTCCTGAAAAATTTCTTTTTGTTTTTTCATTCTGTACTTGTTAAAATAAAAAAATCATTTTTTTAAAGATTTGCAAATATATGATAAATATATATGATAAATATATATGATAAATAGAAACAATCTACTTAATTTGAACCTTGGATACCATACATTTCAAATGGCTGTGGTTTTTAGACTTTATGTTTTGTGTCTATTCATGTCATGGGCGATCATAGCTCTCCACAACTTCCTACCTTAATTCTTGCTACTTTATGATCTCTCTTTTTCTTTGTGGTACTTCCTCTATCCATTTACTCAAAGTTATCAAAATAGTTTACTTGTTATTTTGTCCTACTTCTCTTGTCTTTAGTATGCTCTGTGAGTGTTAAATTTTACAAGCATTCTTTCCTCATTATGCATCCCAAAAATTCAAGTTGTCTTTTTGTAATGCTGCAGTTTCTTCGTAGTTCCATTTATTAAAACTTCTTTGTTTCTCAAATGCTCTGTCCATGATATTCTTAATGTTTTTTGGTAGAAGCACATCTTTCTTGCTTCAATTCCTTTTCATCTGTTGAGAAATTGTGCACTATTCATGACTATAGAGGAGTTTAGATATATTATTACATTACAGTTCAGCATTCTTTTCTTTGTTTCTAAGGACATTTTCTGTGCAGTTTATAAGGTTGCTTAGTTTCTTACAGGCTTCTTTTGATATTCCCATGCACATATGACACTGCAAAGACATGTTAAATGTTCACCGTTGCTTTATTTTGATGACCTTCAATGTTTAACCTTACACACAGTAGTAAACTTTTCTTTTTACTGGCAAACATCATCATCATCAATAACAATGACTGGATGTGGTTGTAAAGTCACTGCACAGCTGAGCTCCTGACCAGCTCCCTCCACATGTCTCAGTAGTGTGCCAGTTACTGATTTGGTGCTACTATAGTGTGAGGTCTATCTCAATATAGTGTAAGGTGTACCTCCCGTTTCATATGTTTAGAAAATGTGAAACATATATAAATATCCATGTTAAACCTCACCTGACCTGATGGCCACAACATATATAGGTAGACCTCATGCTATAGTAATACCGACTGAGTCTCTGTGTATGTTATTACAGTCTACTCAGTAACATTCTCAGCCCATTTTTTTCTTTTGTTTGTCCTTTCTTCTTTTGCCTCAAGTGAAACCATGTAGAATGGCAGTGAAAATATTGACGGAACTTATTTTGTCTCAGAATTAATTGTCATTCCTTTCTTTTGGCTTTCCTCAACTCTCTAGTCTTAGTTCTCTCAGTTTTCTTTCTGAAACTACTGTTAATGCAATATTGTTTGTGTAGCATATGTTAGGGTTTATGTCTTCTAGTATATATTCTAGTGTTTGAGAATGATCTCTCTGTACAGGTTAGATAAATCCAGTAAAAAAAAAAATCCTTGTTGTAGTCCTCTTTCTATTTTTGTGTATTTGCTTAAGTCATTCTTTATCCCTCATGCAAGCTATTTCTTTCCAGTAGTGGTTATGGCTTAAGTCAAATATCGATATAGGCTAGGCTTTCCAAAGATTTCAGGGAATTCTTCATGTTGTGCTTTATTGAATGCCTTTCTGTAATCTATGGAACATCGTCATACATCTTTCTGTACTTTTGTTGTTCAGTCTGATCATGAAAATTACATTTTTTTGTTCCAGTGTCTTGAACAAAGCCACCAAGTTTGATAGTGTCTAGAGTCATTGGTTTTTTTTTGATAGCATTATGAAGACTGATCCACCGAGGTCCTCCAGTATTTCACCGCTGTCATATATATCAATTATCACTTTGGTAACCTAATACTGATATAGTGCCAATAAACATATAGCATGGGTCATTTAGATATGGATCAACACTTCTGCTTAGGATCAAAGTGTTGGAATTGTGTGTCTGTTTAGTATCGAACTATAGTATCTGACCCTCTACTTTTGCTATGTACTTATTCTATGGTGTGTGACATTGGGCAGTTCACAGTAAAGCTATAACTGAAAATTTCTAGAGTTCTGGTCCTGTTATAGCATTAAAACACCTCTTGCATTGCACCAAAGGTGGAGGGTTGGAGTTCTTCGATGCTTGTATGACTGTGGTGACTGGGCAATTTTTATTCTAGGAACTCATGACACCAACCTTGTATCACATCCCTATTTCCTTGTTGGTGGTGGTGGTGGTGGATCTTATTAAAGGATGAAAATATAAAGTCTGGCACTTTTGTTGATGATCAGTTCATAGTATCTGTACATTCTGGGAAAAGTGTTACATACACAGACAAAAAAAACACATGTGGATTCAAAGTTTTATATATATATATATATATATATATATATATATATATATATATATATATAAAACTATCCCTATAATTTTGCACATGTGTGTTGCTTGTTTTTGATTTTGAAGACTATCAGTTGGGCACTATTTGTGAGAAAAAGAGCACCATATCGCAATTCACTCTACCAGAAATTTGGAAATGGCATGCTGTACTACTTGGCATTTGTGCCAGAAGCTCCAATATGAACATTTCAGAATATTTCAGTGCAGAGGATTCGGAAAGAGTTGGATGAGTCTAATGGTGATTATGAAGGTACAGCTGTTCAGAAAAGTGACTATGGTCATTCTGATAAGAAAAGAACTCCCAAATTTGTTGGTGAGAGCCTCAGACTCAACATGGAGGCCTACATCAAGTGCCTTGAGGAGGTAATGCTGCCTTGGGTCAAGAGGGTGGCTGCTGGAAGACCAATGTCTAGCAACAGGCCTCTGTACCATGCCACACAAACAGATGAACCCAGTCATGGCTGACAGACTATTTCTGTGAATACATCACCCCTCACATATGGCTACCTAATGCCCCAGACTGCAACCCCCTTGATTATAATAATTGGATACTGGTTGGGGTTAAAGGTTTACTCCTAAAATCTTCTTCTACCTTCCTTACTCTAATATACAAACATCTCCCCCCACCCCAACTTTTCTTTCTTCAATAGTGTAAGCTCCCAGCCCTTTTTTCGGCTGAAGTTAATTTTGCTACTTCATTTTTTATTTTTATTGTTCAATTTTATTTTTTAAATGTCTGGTTTATTATCAGATTATTTGGCTGAATTTATATCATTAATAAAATGTTTTATGAGGCAAGTATATATATGTATATCTGTTGAAATAAATTTATAGCTGATTATATGATGATTATTTAAGTATTTTCATTATATATATGTGTGTATGTGTGTTCATTATTGTGTAGAATTATAGCCTTTTTGTGTTTATTTATTGCTTCATAAGTTTTCCTTTTTGTTTGGTTTTATTTATTTAAAGAACAAGTGGTAAATTGACTATCAGAATAAGTGCTATTATTCTTTATGTAGGAATCGCTATTATTAGTTTTATCTAATTCTTTAAAGTATTGTCTGTTATTCCATTCCACTTTTGAACTGTTAGTATATTTGGGGTTGGTCATACTTTGAAAAAATACTTTTTGCAAGGTATATTTTCATAGATTCATCTTTCTCTCTCACTCTCTCTAATATATATATATATATATATATATATATATATATATATATATATAATAATATGTATATTTATGATATGATGGACTCTCTTGTCGTTTTCAACGTATGAGTGTCTTTCAGTTCAGTTTTTATGTATATGTTTCATATGAGACAACAACCCTGCACGGGATTTGCAAACAAATCCACACGATGGGCATATTGAAGGGTTGACCGTCATATGGGTTGATATATTAGCCTGAGATTTAGTGTTAATTCTTAATTCTCTCAGATGGTTGAGACGATATTTTTCAAAGTTAATTATACCTCGGTAGTAGGTATTTCTCCAGTTTGCTCAGTTTTCAACAGCAAGTTTGAATTTCCCTAATAGGGCTGTTTGCAGCAGTTAAATTGTATTTAAGTTTATCCTTGAGGTGTAACCAAGGATGGCCTACGTTATGCTTACCATGAAAAAGTTGGCTATACATGAGGATTTTCGGCATCTGATCATCACTCATTCTGATGACATGACCAGTCCATCTGAATTGTGATCGCATCAGAAAGGATTCAATACCACCAACACCACATTTGATGAAAAGTTCAGGGTTAGAGATTTTGTCCTGCTGTATATAACTGCATATTGAATGAAGATAGCATTTATGAAAAGCATCAAGTTGATTGATATGTGTCCTGTAAAATGTTCATGATTCTGACCAATAAAGAAGTATGGTGAGAATGACTGCTCGATAGACACTGATTTTCGTTTTTAGTGAAATCCCATGAACATCCCATAGGCAATTCTTAAGCTTCCCAAAGGCATTGGTTGCCTTTGATATTTGGTTAACTATTTCATTATCCAAAAAAAAAACACTTGAATTGACTTTGCTTCCTAAGTATTAGAATGATTTCACATACTTCAGGTTGTTGCTGTCAGCAGTAATAGGAATGATTGGAAAGGTATGGGCAGGTGGTTTTTATTTTACACCCTTGACCTGCTTAGGTGTAGTCGCCTTGGTTGATAGACAACTTCAGTTTTCTTTATGCTTATAGTTAATCCGAATGCTTTGCAAGTGGTGGAAAAATGATTGACGAGTGCTTGAACTTCTTCGATTGAGGTGGCCATGATTGCAGCATCATCAGCAAACAAAAGATCACAAATAATGCTTGCTGGAGCCACCGATTTTGATTTAAAACATTGATGCTTAAAGAGGCTGCCACTGACAAATGACCAAAAAGAAGAGAGCAAAAAGTACAGGAGACATGACACAACCTTGTTTTGTGCCATTTGTTACATCAAAGGTTTCTGAAAACTCTCCATTAGATAGAACAGAGGCTTTCATTCCTTCATGAATCAAGATGATAACATTTAGCATACTTTCAGGTATGCCAAGCTTTTTGAGTACTTTCCAGAGGGCACCTCTGTTTACAATGTTGAATGCTTTAGTCAGATTGATAAAGATGGTATAGAGTTCATGGTTCTTGCA